TTGGAAGGTTGAGGCGGAAGTATTGCCGGAGCCGAGCAGGTCGAGGCTGCGGTGGCCGGGAGCGGCCACTGCACTCCAGTCTGGGTGACAGAGTGAGACACCAACTCAAAAAAAAAAAAAAAAAAAATTGGGCGTGGTAGCACGCGCCTGTAGTTCCAGCTACTTGGAAGGCTGAGGTGGAAGGATCACCGGAGCTCAGCAAGTAGAGGCTGCGGTGGCCAGGAGCAGCCTCTCCACTCCAGTCTGGGTGACAGAGTGAGATTCCAACTAAAAAAAATAAAAATAAATAAATAAATAAATAAACTGGAGAATAACCGTAACTATCTCAGAGGACAGTAAAATAAAATATACTGCTTATGTATGATAGTGTAGTGCTTGACATATAGCAAGTGTTCATTAAATGTTCATGATCATCACTACCACAGGTAAACCTCATAACAGCACCATGACCTAGGAATTACTGTCTCATTTTATAGAGCAGGAAACTGAGACTTAGTGCTCTCTCTCCATTACATATGGCTTCCTGAGTTTCAAACACATAATGTAAATCCCTGGAGAAATCCAGACAAAATGCTCTCTGAACTTGTGCCTACTCACCCAGAAACTGTTCTTTAGAAACTTCCTGATTGTATCACCAGAGTTCACAATCAGAGACACCCTAATTCTTACTCTGTCAGCTTCGCAGAACTAGATTTTCTAGCTACCTCTCCTCCTCCTTTTAAATGATCTCTACTATTAAATTTCTAATCATGTTCTCACCTTTTTAGGAAGCAGACTCTGAAGTTCTCTTGCTTCTGATATTCTCTTGACTTGCTGTGTAGCTTTCCTTAAGACCAGGGTCTGACAGTGATGCTCTGTCAATGTGACAGTAGAAAAAAAAAGATAACTGGAGTTGACAGTTGTGATAAGAAAGAGCATGTGGTAAATCTCAGCTTTCTGCATGCACCCAGATCATCCACCTGTGCCCCTGAAGCTGCAACCCTGAGATAGTAGTGAAAGCAGCAGAAGCTAGATAGGAACCTAAACTTCTGAGAGAGGGGAATACTGTCCTGGATCAGAGGACATGTGGTTCAAAGAGTGTGGAGGGAAACCCTGGTTTTCTTTTTTTTCCTCTATGTCCTCTTCCCCATTGGCCAAGGAGATCGACCCAGTCATGGAATGTACAGTGGAGAGACTAAAGCTATGCTATGCCTATGCTCACCCTTGAGCTGTGTATATATACGTGTATCTGATCCCAAACAGCACACCGAAGGCTTTGAATACTACCAGGTAGTCAACAACTCAGGCCACAAATGTGGTTTCATGGGAGTCACACATGCAGGACAGATCCAAACAGCACTGTAAAAGTTTTGAAACCTGAGCTGACATTGAATCTACAACTTACAGAAGAAGGTCAGAACTGGTGACCTGAACCTAACTGTGTGAATTGGCTGTTAAAACAAAACAAAACACCCCAAACTTCTCTGTATATTTAAACAAGACTCAGAGTCTAACAATCCAAAATTACTCGACAAAGAACAAGGAAAGTCTGACAAATTCTCTCGAGGGAAAAAGACAATCAGCATCACCAACCTTGAGATGATTTAGATGTTAGAATAATCAGACCAGAGCTGGGCTCGGTGGCTCAGCCTGTAATCCCACGTCTTTAGGAGGCTGAGGTGAGTGGATTGCCTGAGCCCGCGGGTTCGAGACCCTCCTGGGCAAATTGGCAAGACCTAATCTCTACAACAAATCAAAAATTAGCAGGGCGTGGTAGCGCACGCCTGTAGTTCCAGCTACTTGCAAGGCTGAGGCAGAAGGATCGCCGGAGCCCAGCAGGTCGAGGCTGCGGTGGCTGGGAGCGGCCACTGCACTCTAGTCTGGGTGACAGAGTGAGACTCCAACTCAAAATAAATAAATAAGTAAATAAGAATAATCAGACCAACACTTTAAAGTATATATTAAAACAATGCCATAAGAAGTAAGGGTGAGCCAGGTGCAGTGGCTCATGCCTGTAATTCCAGCACTCTGGGAGAGGATTACCTGAGCCCAGCGGTTAGAGATCAGTCAGGGCAACTTGGTGAGACTTTTGGCTCTACTATACATAAAAAAATTAGTCGGGCATGGTGGTGCACGCCTGTAGTTCCAGCAACTTAGAAGATTGAGACAAAAGAATCACCTGAGCCCAGCAGGCTGAGGTTGTGGCCATGAGTGTGCCACTGTACTCCAGCCTGGGCAACAGAGTGAGATTCCAACTCAAAAAAAAAAAAAAAAAAGTAAGGGGGAACATGCTGGAAACAACAGAAAACTTAGAACGTCTCAGTAGATAAATAGAAGCTTTAACAGGGAACCAAGTGGGAATTTCATAGCTGAAAAATACAGCAATCAAAATTAAAAATATATTGAATGGGATCAATAGCAAAACTGAGGTGACAGAGGAAAGAAACAGTAAGCTTGTGGTGTTTCTGACATCAAATGTGTTATTTTTGTCATACCAGTATGTGATTTTTCATACCAATAGTTTAATTCTCTGACACAAATTGGGTGCAATTCAGTTCTGACACTATCTACCTGGAGTTGGCGCCATATTCCACAAGCTTTTAATTTTATTTATTTATTTTTTAAAACATTGATTTTTATTTATATTTTTGTAGATGGTGTCTTGCTATGTTGCCCAGGCCAGTCTCTTTCTTTTTGAGTCAGAGTCTCACTCTGTTGCCCAGGCTGGAGTGCAGTGGCACACTCACGGTTCTCAACCTGCTGGGTTCAGGTGATACTCCCGCCTCAGCCTTACAAGCTGGGATTACAGGTATGCACCACCATACCCAGCTAATTTTTTAGTTTATTGTAGAGACAAGGTCTTGTCAAGTTGCCCTGGCTGGTCTTGAGTCCGTGGGCTCAGGCAATTCTCTCGCCTCTATCTCCCAAAGTGCTGGGATTATAGGCATGAGCCACCATGCCCGGCTATATCCCACAAGCTAAAGGACTCAGGCCTACAAGTCTGCCCCCACTTCAGACACCAGCATCAAATGAGGTGCTCAGGTTACCTCTGCCTAACTGATGATAAATTTGAGGATTCTCACAACTCCCCCTCGACAGGTTCAATAATTCACTAGAATGACTCACAGGACCCAGGATCCTTACTCTGACAGATTTATTATAAAGGATTCAGCTCTGAAAAAAACAAATGGAAGGGATGCACAGGGCGAGGTATGGGAGAGGGTGTGGTGAAGAGCTTCCAGAGCAACCATGCCCTCTTTGGGCACACCACTCTCCCAGCATGTTACTGTGTTCACCACCCGGGTAACTCACCAAATCTTATTGTTCAAGAGTTTTTATAACTCAATCTCCAGTCCCCATCTTCTCCCTGGAAGTTAGAGGGTGGGGCTGAAAATTTCTACCCTCTAATGTGTGTTTGGTCTTTCTGGTAACCAGTCTCCAACCAGAGTATTAGCATAAACTCAGGTGTTGAAAGAGGCTTATTATGAATAACAAAAGACACTCCTTTCACTAAGGAAATTCCAAGGGTTTAGGAGCTCTGTGACAGACTCTGGGGACGAAAACCAAATATTTGTTATTATACTATATAATCTGAACAATATAGAGAAAAAAATGGGAAAAAATGAACAGAGCCTCAGGGCCCTATGAGACAACATCCAAAGGTCTAACATCTGCATCATTAAAGTCCCAGAATGAAAGGAGTGTGTGGTACTAAAAAGATTTTTGAAAAACTAATGGCTGAAAATGTTACAAATTTGGTAAAAGGCTTACATTTACAGATTAAAGAAGCTCAGTAAACTCCAAGAAACCCATGCCTACACATATCATAATCAAATTGCTGAAAGACAGATCAAGAAAATATCTTGAGGGCAACCAGAGAAAAATGTAACATAGAAAAATGAGGGAAGCAACAATTTATGACTGTAGACTTCTCATCAGAAACCACTAAGTCCAGAGGCTGTGGAACAACATTTTTAAGTGCTGAAAGAACTGTCAGCCTAGAATTCTATAACCAGAAAAAAAAAATTCTGCAAGAATGAAGGTAGGTTGGGCTCGGTGGCTCAGCCTGTAACCCCAACACTTTGGGAGGCTGAGGCGAGTGGATTGTTTGTCTGAGCCCGCAGATTCGAGACCAGCCCAGGCAACTTGGCGAGACCTCGTCTCTAAAATAAATAAATAAATAAATAAATAAATAAATAAATAAATAAATATGCCGGGAATGGTAGTGTGTGCCTGTAGTTCCAGCTACTTGGAAGGCTGAGGCAGAAGGATTGCTGAAGCCAAGCAGGTTGAGACTGTGGTGGCCAGGAGCATGCCACTGCACTCCAGTCCGGGCGGCAGGGTGAGACTCCAACTCAAAAAATAAAAAAAGAAAAGAATGAAGGTAAAATAAAGACATGAAAAGGTAAAATAAAGACATGAAAGAAAACTAAGAAAATTTCCTATTAGGAGGCCTATTTTACATGAAATACTAAAGGTGTTGTTTTCAGTTAGAGGAAAATAATACCACAAGGAAATCTGGAACTTCAGGAATGAAGGAAAAGCAACAGAAGCTGTAAATATCTGACTACATATAATGACTATTTTATTTATTTTAACCTCTTTAAAATGTGAACACTCTGAAATATAGTTCAGCAGTTCCTCAAAATGTCAAACACATGACCCAGTGATTCTACCCCTAGGTAGACACACAAAAAGAATGAAAATTTATGTCCACATAAAAACTAGTGCATGAGCCGGGCTCGGTGGCTCAGCCTGTAATCCCGCGTCTTTGGGAGGATGAGGTGAGTGGATTGCCTGAGCCCGCAGGTTCAAGACCCGCCTGGGCAGGCGAGACCTCATCTCTACAATAAATCAAAAAATCAGCCGGGCGTGGTAGTACATGCCTGTAATTCCGGCTACTTGGAAGGCTGAGGTGGAAGGATCGCTGGAGTCCAGCAGGTCGAGGCTGCGGTGGCCGGGAGAGGCCACTGCACTCCAGTCTGGGTGACAGAGTGAGACTCCAACTCAAAAAAAACCCCAAAAAACAAAAAAAACTAGTGCATGAATGTTCATAGCAGCATTTTTCACAATAGCCACAAAATGGAAACAACCAGAGCTGAATGAAAATGAAAAGACAACATATGAAATATTTGTAGGATGCAGCTAAAGCAATATTTAGAGGAAAGTCTATAGCTTATATTAGGAAAAAAGGTCTCATTCAGTTCAAATCTTTTCTAATTTCCCTTGGTACTGCCTCTTTGATTCATGGATCTTCATGAATTGAATATATATGTATATTTGGGGGATTTACAAAGTCTCTCACAAATATTTACCTCCGTTTGTAAACCTGCCTAAACTCTTGATCAGTTTTTTTTTAAATAGCTTTATTGAGATAAAAATTACATACTAACATTCTCCCTCAAGAAAAAGGATAAAGTTTTTAGAATAATGATGACATGTAAAATTACTAGAATGATACTTAAGAGCTCCTATTTTGATGTACTTTCTTAGACTGCATTTATCTATTTGGCATCCATTAATTACTAACAAGTTGCTTGCATTTTTCCTGCCATCCAGAAGCCATACTCTGAGCAAACTCTTTTATCTAATTCTCACACGCCAAGCCAAGACTAGTAGGGACAGCCTCTATGCTCCAGAAGCTGCTGGAATGATTCAAACCAGCTAGTCCTAACCAGTTTCCAGTGCCTTGCTTTGCCTTTCCCACTGAAACCCAATGAAGGCAGTGGTTTATCCCTTCCCCTCACTTCTTTCTGCCTCCTGCCCTAGTGCTTCCCTCTGTGGCCCTGAGGCGAGTCATGCCTCACATTTTCAGGGGAACCAGAAGAGTAACATCACTTTTCTTTTAATGGCATTGACCTCTCCTCTCCATGTTTTCACTTAGTCACCTTTATAAATTAAGACCTGGGTGCAAATCAGTTCCTACCTCAATAAATGCTGGCTTCTGGTGGGGGAGAGGAACAGTTATCATGACTTAAATGTATTTTCTTCCAGTGTCAATTTCTCTTTCCCACAGATGTTAGCATTGTGCTCAATTCATCATCACAAAAATAGGAATTAATAAGTGCTTACTGAGCTGAAAAGACAATTACATCCTCACTTAAAGTATTACTTGGTGCCAAGGTCTAGGCTAGAACTCCAAGTGTAAAGTAGGGTAACAAATTATGTTCAAACAAATCTAAGAAACCAGGATTTTGGAGAGGATAATAAGGTCAAAAGCCTACATTCCCCTTTTTGGTTGTCAATTTACCTTTCATGGTATGGTGTGTTTGTGAGCTTTCTTCTGAATTCTGCTTGGCTGAAGAGCCTCTTTCCCTGGATGAACGTATACTAGAAGCCTCCAGGGGACAACAAACAAAATAAGGAGAGAGACAGAGAGAAAGAGAGAGAGAGGAATGGAAGTTAGCAAGACTGGTAGTGAGGGGAATATGAGAAAGTAATACATGTAACTTCTTAGCTACTTCTCCATGTTCTCAGTCAAGGAACATGCAGAGGGAGACCTCTCAGGCACAGTTGGACAATCCCAGGAACATGATAAAGAGCAGTGGTTGACATGGAAAGCATATGGGCTAGGACCAAGGCTGACCAGGGTTTCAGTCCCAGCTCTGTCATTCAACAGCTGGTGATCTGGGCTAAGTCACAGAACCTCTCTGCCACCTTGGTTTTCTTGTAGGATTAAGTCAGCTAATGCATGCAAAGTACATGTGTGGTTCATGGTAAGTGGTCCAAACACACTGCTATCATCCCTCATGCAGTCACTCACCACACCTCCTTCAGTAAACATTTCACTGAGTCAATAATGAAACCTAGTCCCTGCTTTGAGGAGCTCCTAGTCTAGCTGGGGAGAAAACTGTAAATAAACTATTTACACTAAATAAGTAGAAAGCATCACTTATTTGTTAGAAAGGTAATATAAGTTAGAATTATCCTTGGATTACGACAAAGACTCTAAATAACAGTGGCTCAAACTAGGTAGAAATTTCCCTCCCAAATATAAGTCTGAAGGTTGGCAGGCCTGGGCTCATATGGTATTTCTGCTGTGCTGAGTCCTCAGAGACTCTGACTTCTTCCAGTGCATGGTTCCACTTTCCCTAAGATAAGACCTTGTTTCTTAGGGTCCTAGATGGCATCTGGAGTTCCAGCCATCACATTCACATTCCAGGCAGCAGGAGGGAGGAAAGAACAAAGAGATGAATGTTTTGCACAAGCTGTTCACACACGGTATATCCACTTATATCTCATTTCCTAAATCTGAGTCATATGGTTGTACATAGACGGTGGGGGGGCGGTGAGAGGAGATACAATATTTACTTTGGCCATGTACATGCCTAGCTAAAGATCAAAGGTTCTCTTTTCATAGATGAGGGGAGACTGGGGAACAATTCACAGTTGCACAAGCAGTATGAGGAGAGCATCATGGGAAGGCAGAGTGGGGAATGCTTGACTCTATCTGAGGGAGAGCTGGAGGGCTTCCAAGGAGAGAAGACACTTGCATTCTGTCTTTAAGGATGAGTAGGAGTTTGGCAGTGTTAAACAGATGGCCCACCAAGTGGCAGACAAGCAGTCCACCAGCCTCAACAACAACTGCTTTGTATTTATATAAGCATGATATTTGAATGGGCAGGAGAAAGCCAAAGGGGCTTCCCATACATCATGCAGCAGGTTGTCCAACAGCTACTGACTTTTATAGTGTTGAGGTGGCTACTGGGAAAACACTCCCAGGGCTCAATGAAGCACCAGCGCTCCTTCCTGACAGGCCTCAGAGAGAGCTGTAGTGGAGTAGAGAACCATGCAAGGAGATGAGCTTGGGTTTAAGTTTTTAGAGCCTCCTATTGGCTGGAGAGGCAGCATGCTGATGCAGAAAGAGCTCAGACTGACACATCATTCACCTCCCTGAGTTGACTTCTTCCTTTGTCAAATCAGATAATAAGCCACAATTCCCCACCTTGCAGGGCTGTGGATATATGCATCCTAGAGAGGATATATGCAGAGAAACCCTGCACATGGTGGACTGTCCATAAAGACCATGTTCTTCCATTTTCCTATCCATTCTCTTATTGTTTTCTTGGGGTGGGAGGTAAACCATGACTGTTCTGAGACCTCCTGTGCTCCCCCCAGTACAGAGGAGGTGGGCTGTTCTACCCCACCTGGGCTACCTTGCTCCTGAGATAAGGCATGCTGAGGATTCAGTTATGATGGGGCAGAATAGATGGGAGAGCCCGTTTTTGAACTACAATGAGATATAATCTGGGGATGCCCAGAAATGTCTGGGAAGAGGGTGGGTTGCACAGGTCTGATATTAGCAGGTATGGGCATGAGCTGGAAGAATTTGGGTCACTATTATTAGTGACCTTGACTATACTCATGCTCTGGAACTTGAGGAAATTCTGGTTAAGGACAAATTCTGAGGATATGACTAGACAACAATTTATGGGACATCATCTGTCATTAGATTGAATCTATAAGAGTTAGTACCAGTCATGGTACCTATTTTGCAGATAAGAACATGGAGGCTCAGATTTGCTTAAAGCTATGTAACTGATAGTTGGCATCACCTAGATGGAAATTTAGGTCTTTGGCATCAAGTCGAGTGTGTTTTCTGCCTTGCCTATGGTTCTATGGTGGTCATTCATTCCCAGTTCCCATATTTTGGGGTGAGTCTAGAAATCGTCCTTTCTCGGGCAACCCTCTTGGGTCCCCTCTTGCTCTGGGAACTTTTCTGTCCTCTCAATAAATCCTGCTTTCTCAAAAAAAAAAAAAAAAAAAAAAATTGTTCTTTCTCTAACCCAGACCTCTCCTCTGAAGTCCAGTCTCGGATATTTACCCACATGACATCTCCATTTGTACTTCTCACAGGCATCTTAAAGTTGACAAGTTCAAAACTGAACTCTTAGCCAGGCTCGGTGGCTCAGCCTGTAATCCCGCACCTTTGGGAGGCTGAGGTGAGTGGATTGCCTGAGCCCGCGGGTTCGAGACCCGCCTGGGCAGCGAGACCTCATCTCTACAATAAATCAAAAAATCAGCCGGGCGTGGTAGCGCATGCCTGTTATTCCGGCTACTCGAAGGCTGAGGTGGAAGGATCGCCTGAGCCCAGCAGGCGAGGCTGCGGTGGCTGGGAGCGGCCACTGCACTCCAGCAGTCTGGGTGACAGAGTAAGACTCCAACTCAAAACAAACAAACAAACAAAAAAACACTGAACTCTTGATAGCTTTCCTCTACCCCAAGCCCTACACCTCCATGTCAATAAATGGCCCTGTTCAGCTGCTGAAACCACACACCCAGAAAGCATCCTCAAGCTCTCTCCTTTCTTCCCCACTTCTCCATCCTACTCTAAAGTCAACCCATCAGCAAGTGTTGAAAGCTCCATCTCCAGGACACATGTTAGGTCTGCTTTCCTGCCACTTTCTGCCATTTGCTCACTTAGACAACAATAGAAGACTCCTGGCTGGCCTTCTGTGCCCCTCCAATACATCCTCCATATTCAGAAGACAGTGTGATCTTTCAAAAACATAAATAAGATCACATCATCCTCCTATTTTAATGAATTTTCATGGCATTTAAATTATATCCATATTCTTTACTATGACCCTCACAACTCTGCAGCATCCAGCCCTCACCTGTGTCCCCAGCCTTTGACTTCTGCCTATCTTCTCCTTACTCAATGGGTACAGAATCACTGGTATTCTCTCTATTCCCTGAATACTTGAGCTCTTTTTTTTTCTGCCTCAGGAGCTATGCTGTTCCTTCTTCTTGGAAAATTCTTTCAATTACTCTTCCAATGGCTGACTTTGCATCTTTTTGTTTTCAGCTCCAGTGACATCTTCTGGGGGTACTGTTTGTCACATGTGTGTCCCTTTTTCTTAACACATATGAGACCCACCCCCCAAGGTAAAATATTTAAATTGTTCCCCCAGTTTCCTTTGCGGCTGGGGTGTATACATTTCACCTAGGCTCTATTTTCAGATGAACCACACCTGCCAGAGGCTTCTAAGTGAAATGAGCCAGGTGAGGAAATGTGTATACTGTGGACTCCAGTTTTTGCAGAGATTGCTGACAGGAGCAACTAGTTTTTTAAGGAAAGCAGAGTGGAGCTTTCAGTATCCAGACCCCAGTGACAAAGGAGAACAGCAGTGTGGCTTTGCAGGGTCGGCACAGTCTCTGAAGGGGCTCTGCCATGAAAGCTGTGCACCACTGATATCCTTGAATACATGTCTTTCTGCTTCAAGTAGCTGGAATGGATTCTGCTATTTGCAACAAAGAACTCTGATGATGATTTCTCCTCAGTTTCCATTTCTTAGATCTTTTCTATCTTTTAAAAATATTTATTAAATGAATAAGTGACTCAGTCTCCAATAGGTAGGCTAATCTATATCTGGGTCACACAGCAGAAGCCAAATTCAAGTTAGATACCTTTTCATTCCAACTATGCAAATCCCCAACACTTAAGAGAAGAGCAGATGGCAGGTCAGAAAGTTAAAATAACTGCAACTCATTCCCCTGAACTGTGGACTCTAAGACAGACTGTTGCCACTGGAAAGCATATTTTGAACACGGCCAGCTATTTCACTGAGCAGATGGGAAAATGTGTCCACTCTTGACAGGAGAGGCTCTGTCCCCACCACACAATTCAATTACTCCCTCGATCCTGGTTTGTCCATTAAAACTTCAGCTGTTTACAAGGTTCCAGAACTTTTGATTATTTCTATTTTGGGGGCAGAAAATAGAATCCCTTAGCTGAGTTCCTGAAATAACTGTCAGAAGATTTTATGTCTTTCAGTACAAAGAAAATACATTTGTTTCAGGCTGTTGTGACAAGCAGTACCAAAACACTGAATAATATTTTGATCTTGGTCCCTGAGTGACAGCTGTCCCTCTGCAGTCCCTGTTTCAACTGTACTTTTTTGGGAGCTGACATATATAGAACTCAAGTATATGCTAAGCACAGGGTCAAGGGCTTACATAGATTATGTCATTCATAAAGTCCAGAAATATTTGTTGAGTGTTTTTTTGTGTGTGTGTCAGTTTTATTTTAGGAGCTAGAAAAGCAATAATGGAAAAAGAGATCCTGTTCTCATGGAGTTTGCATTGTAATAGAGGGAGATGGATTCTAACAACCTATCATCTCCACAGGAAGAACAGCAGCTAAGACAGCACAGAGGATGAAAGCTAGTCATGTGATGACAGAGTGGCTTGGGAGTCGGGGACAATTTCTTTGACAGTGAACCTGGAGTCTGAGGGGCAAGGGCAATGACAGTGAACCTGGAGTCTGAGGGGCAAGGAGGAGCCAGTCATTTTCCCCTGGAATCCTGAGAAGATCACGTTCCAGGAAAAGGCGAAG